CTCTCTCTCTCTCTCTTTTCCTTTCCTCCCCTCCCATTCTCTCTAAAAATCAGTGAGAAAAATATATTCAGGTCAGGATTAACAAAAAATTAAAAAAAAAGATTACCTCTTCCTCTCTAGTAGTTGCTGAGGCAGGGAGAATATGTAGACAAAGGAGTTAAGTAGACTGAGCATTCATTGGGTTTGGGGGTTATAAGTTCATGAAGATTTTCAAATTTAATATTAAAATACTGTCCAGAGCATTTTTCTAAATGTGATCAAGTCACCGTTATTCATTATGTTTCAAATTATAACTTGGTATGAATCCTTAAAATGAGTATGATAAATATGCTTCTATTTCTGGATAACTATCACCTAACATTTCAAAATTTGGAAACTTGCAAATGCTGCTTATGAAAGCGTTTACATCCTTAAAGTTGATGCAAAGAAGTCTTGAAATTTTACTGTGTGCAAAAATGTTTTACTTATATTTTTAACTGATTTTTAAGAGCAGATAATGGATACAAATTTTTTGGATTTTACTTTTTCCTTATTCCTGTGACCTTTGTCAACTTAGCTAATATCCTACCAAGCCATACTATATTTAAAAATCTGGAGGCATTTATATCTGTGTGGCTTTTACCCTTTGTTCTTATACCTTTTCCAAATATGACTTCACAGCTACTTTATTGCTAGTGTCAGAATAAAATGGTAGCTGGGCATAAAATTTGAGTATTTTTAACTTTTTAATATCAATTTTAATATCTATGAAACAGTTTTTTATCATTATTTTTTAAAAGCAATTTCAATACAAATAAAATAACATGTAATTTATGTGTATTATATGTAGCATGATAACAAAATAAACATGTCTGAAATCACTGCCAAATGTAGAACTAGATTAATTTACATCTACCTATGCATTTGTCCCTTATCACATTTTTTTACTTTATTCCTTCCACTGAGGTCCTTACATCTTTTCATGCATTTCATTGCTTTGGTCTATATGCCTTTTCATATATGTATGTATGGGTGCCTAAAAATATAGAGTTTCATGAAATTATTAGCACAAGCAAGGTAGTGAGCATATCCATAACCTCTTGACCCTTTGTGATCCTCTCCCTCACCCCTTCCTGCCAATCCTCCCCCCCAACTCTCAAGCAATCACAGATTGTTTTCTGTCAATATAGATTGTTTTCTAGAATTTTATAACTGTAATTAAACAAGATGCACTCATTTTTGTCTGAATTCTTTCATTCGATATAATTATTTTGAGATTCATTTATGAAGTTTGTATGGGTAGTTCCTTTTTATTACTGGGCGATATTCCATTGTATGAACACAATTTGTTTATTCATTCATCTATGGATTGACCATCTGGGTGCTTCCAGATTTAACTTTTCAGATGGACATGTGTATTTATCTAAATACCAAAAACAAAAATGGTTGGATTACATACTAGCTGTATGTTTAACTTTTTAAGAAACTGTCAGGCTGCTTTTCAGAGTGGTTGTACCATGTTCCATTCTCATCATCAGTGTATGAGCATTCCAGTTCCTTCACATTCCTGTGAGAGAATGCTTGTTATGATCGGTCATTTTAATTTTAGCCATTCTAAAAATTAAGTAGTGTTATTTCATTGTGGTTTTAATTTTTCATTTTCTTAGAGTAATGATGTTGATTGTATTTTCATGTGCTTCTTTGCCCTCTATTATTTTCTTAGTGAAACACCTGTTCAAGTCTATTACCCATTTTTCAATTGGGTTGTTTGGTTTCCTGTGTATTGTATTTTGAGAGTTTTTTATATACTCAAATATAAGTTTTTTCATTTTTTAATAATCAGATGTATGATTTTCAAAGGAACTCATGCCTATATAAATTGTTATATTCTCTCAAAACTTTGAACTTATTATTCTATTGTTGTCTGGCTTTTATTATTATTGAGAAATCTAATTCATTTTTTCTCTGCTTTTAAGATCTTTGCTTTGTATTTTGTATTCTGCGATTTTATTATATGTCTGATCCTAGTCATAGGTTTTATTTATTATCTTTAGAATAAACTGTACTTTCAGGACGTGTGCATTTATATAATAAGTTCTAAAATTTTCATATCTGTTATTGCTTTAAACATCATTTGCTATTCACTCTATTTTCTCCCTGAAGACAGCTATTAGAAAAATAGTGTGTCTTTTCATGTGTCCTCTATACATCTTGATATTGCTTTATTTTTTTTTTCCATTTTATTTTCTCTTGTGTTACACTTTGGGTAATTTCTTTGAGTATATTTTTCTGTTTTGCTTTTTCTAATCTGCTGTTTAACCCATCAGTTAATTTTTAAACTTTAAATAATTACATATTTTCTAATATTTTATTATGAAAGTTTTCAAACATAGCAAAGTTATAAGAATATTATACAGAACATTTATACACTCACACATAATTTCTCTCATTAGCATTTTATTATATTTATTATATATCACACCAGTCTATCTCTTTAGCTATCCATTAATCTATTTATAATTTTCACAAGTTATATTTGTTTTCCTCATTCTGCCTGCTTATACTTACTAGATCCTTATTATTTGCTCATCATTGTAATTGTGACCATTGTTTCTTTAACACTTTACATATGTCTTCTATGTTCCATGTGAGAAAATTAAAAAATCAACAATAATTGGTCATATAAACCTAAGTTATTTCTGCTGAATTTCATCCATAGTGACATGCTTTTTGAGCATTTGTGATCTTTGATTGTGAGCTCATTTCTTGATCCAAATAAATGAGCGTCCTTCAGCCTTAAGATTTCCTTTGGAAAACGTTTTCTTTTGCTACTGCCATAGCCAGTGGGGAGCCACTGACATTGAACAGCATCCCTTTAGGCTCTTGACTCAATGAGGAAGTTCAAGGGTTTGCTTCCTTACTTCTATAATACTTGCTGACCTAAGGTCTAGTGTGCTGATAGAAATTCTGTACTTGATACCTGTCCTCAGCACCACCCCATCCTTTAATCCTCTAGCTCAGTGGTTGGCAAACTCATTAGTCAACAGCCAAATATCAAAGGTACAACGATTGAAATTTCTTTTGAGAGCCAAAATTTTTTAAACTTAAACTTCTTCTAATACCACTTCTTCAAAATAGACTCACCCAGACCATGGTATTTTGTGAAAGAACCACACTCAAGAGGCCAAAGAGCAGCATGTGGCTCGTGAGCCACAGTTTGCCGACCATGGCTCTAGCTGATCTGATCTCAGCTTAGGGTGTGTGTGTGTGTGTGTGTGTGTGTGTGTGTGTAAGATTTATCTTGGAGACCTACCCCATCTGCCTCAACATTAGTAATGCTTCAAACATCCCATCCATTTCAGTGCCTAGTTAATCTGCAGAGTACTTAGCCATAATGTCAGAAGCAGATGTCTTCAAAACTGTACTTCATATGTTAAACAATTATGACATTTAACTTTGTGGGATAATTTTTTAATCTCATTTACATCATAAACCTGAAGATAGATTTATGAAAGCATTCATTTTGGAAGTTATTTGGCCAGCTTTCTAATAGTGATTATGCATTCTCTTAAATAAAGGTAATTAAAAATAACTTATTTTATTTTTAAAACATCTTTATTGTCGAACATATTACATATGCCCCCCCCCCTTTTCCTTCCCATTGACCTATTTATTTTAAAGTAGCTTTAGTGCTTATGGAAAAGTAAAGATAGTAAAGAGGGTTCCAATGAATCCCACATTGTTTTCCCTATTTCATTTCCAATATATGAAATAATATCACTGAAGGCATTAGGAGAAGAAAGGCAATGACCAGAAAATGAGTAGACACTAGAAAACCAAGACAAAGAAAGTATATATATATATATAAAAGCATCCTACATTTGTAAAACAGATTCTTTTGTTATATTTTGCATTTCATATTAGAATTCCCTGACCTCCTAATAAATTTTTTTTAATTGCCTTCTTTGTTCTGAGTGGTTTGGCTCAGTGGATAGAGTGTCGGCCTGTGGAATGAAGGGTCCCAGGTTTGATTCCTGTTAAGGGCATGTACCTTGGTTGCGGGCACATTCCTAGTAGGGGTTGTGCAGGAGGCAGCTGATCAATGTTTCTCATCAGTGTTTCTAACACTCTATCCCTCGCCCTTCCTCTCTGTAAAAAATCAATAAAATATATATTTAAAAAATTGCCTACATTAAGGTTTCCTCTTTGTGCTGTAAAGTTCTATGGGTTTTGACAAATGCTCCTGTTAGGTGTTCACCATCAACCTGTGCTTTACCTATTTGATCCTCCTCCCATGTCCCAGATCTTCTAGCAATCACTGATTATTACACTGCCTTAGTTTTGCTTTTAAGTATTGTAGGAAATGAGAAGTATAGTATTTTAACTTAGCAATTTGCATTTAAGACTCATTCATGTTTTCGCATGACTTGATAGCCCATTCCTTCTAATTGCTAAGTAGTATTCCATCATGTGAATTTACTTTTTTGTTTATCCATTCAACAATTGAAGGCATATTGGTTTCTGCCAGTTATGAATAAAGTTGCTATAAGAATTCTCATGGAGGAAAAAATGCAATTTTCAGGATTTTTTCTATTTTTATTATTTTTCTTTGAGATGCATATTTATGCACTTTTTTGACAAAATGTTCAAATCCTCACTCTAGGTTATGTTTTTATTGATTTTTAGAGAAAGAAAAAATGAGAAATGGAGAGAGGGAGAGAGGAAAGGAGAGAGAGAGAGAGAGAGAGAGAGAGAGAGAGAGAGAGAGAGAGAGAGGTGAGAGAGAAACATCCATCAATTGCCTCTCATACACACTCAATGGGGATCAAACTTGCTCACAATCTAGGTATGTGCCTGCCTGGGAATCAAACCTGACACATTTTGGTGTATGGGACCATACTCCTACCAATGGGGCCACCTGACCAGGGTTATGCACTTCCTTTAATCAGCAAAATTGTCCATATACTCATTTATGAGGTGTTACATTACAGTTTGATTCTTTTCTTACATTTTCTTCACAGATATTCAGGAATTTTATGAGGTGACATTGCTGAATTCTCAAAAAAGTTATGAGCAGAAGATAGAAGAAGCCAATCAAGTTGCACAGAAATGGGGGAAGACATCCCTTCTTGCTCCTTGCCATGATAACCTTCAAAAGTCTGCAGAGGTATGGCACTGAAACTTTTGAAAGAGCTAACTAATGTTATGACATATGAAAGTAAAGAAGTAGCAATCATTATTAACAAATGGTAACACTAATAGTAGAAATATAGTTATACTGTTAAAGTTGTCCTGAGCAAAAGGGTTTATTGAGCCACTTGTAAGCTGGGAAAAGGATCTAGTCCCTGGACATCCAGCAGCAGAGCTAACTGGAGAAGACAAACATGTCCATCATCCTGAGGTTGATGGAGGTCATTTATACAGTGAATTTGGGGAAGAAAGATATGTTGTTTTAAATAAATTTACATTAGCTATAAATAAGGGGTGTGTGGAGGAAATGTGAAGTGGAGAAAGTTCTGGGGTAGGTGAATAGTTTATAAGGAAGATGCATTAAATGCTTTTGGATTGGTTGTGGGCAACAATCCAGCATGTTCATGCAGAAGCAAAAGGTGGTGATGTCTGGTGGTTGGCTCTTTTTTCTAGATAGCTCTCTGGATGTTGATTCAAAGTTTCAACATACTATCAGGAATGTGAGCAGTCTTTTGTTGATTTTGGCATATGACTGTTAACAAATTAATTTCCCTTGTCTCTTGCTCCCGCCCTCCTGCCTGCTGTAATTGAATTTAGGATATTGAATAAGTTTTCTTTTGTCACTGTATATATTATTCATCTACTAGAGGCCTGCTACATGAAGATTTGTGTGAGAATGGGCCTTTCTTCCCCTGGTTGCCAGCACCGCCTTCTCTCTGGCCGGAGCCGCCTTCCTGCTCCTGCCCAGAGCCACCTTTCTATCTTCCTACACTGCCCAATGACCCAGAATGGCTGGGATGGTGCTGAACACCTGCCAAAACAAGCATCCCGTCCCTCCCCGCCCCACCCCCAGCAGTTCAGTGCCTGTGTATGCAAATTAACCCACCATCTTTGTTGGGTTAATTTGTATAGTCACTCCTGGTTGGCTGGTGGGCATCATGGAGATACAGTCAATTAGCATGTTACTCTTTTATTAGGTAGATGAAATACAGATCTTTCTAAAAGATAAAATAGGGCATGAGAAGGACATGACTTCATATTAGACAAGTGAGTTCTGATATGAATATTGTCATAGTTTGAGTTGACTCAAATCTAAGGCATTCTGGAATTTCAGAATGTGGTTCCAGATACAGCAAGGGAAAGAGATGGGTAGTGGGGTTGAAGAGTGTGGTCTAAGCCTGTGATCTCCATAGCATGGCCATGATCCATTGGGGTGTAGGAACAAAATAATAATTTGTATTTTTAGTCACATTCTTTATAATTTTTAATATTTGGATAATTTGTAACATATACTATGTTAACAGTTATATATATTTATTTAAAAGTAATTATAACATTATTAGAGTTGTATGTTCAACAAGTTTTTATAGGTAGGACTATAGGATCAAAAAATTTGGATACTACTATTGAAAGTAACAGTTACCAAAGAGTAAATAGACAAGTTGAGAATGTCTCTGGTTAATAACTGAGGATTAATATAAAGGGAGGGGCAAGTCATTAATACTTATAAGTGATAGTCAATATTTTGAAGGTAGGTAGTAAGTAGTACACACACACACACACACACACACACATACACACACACACACACACAGACGCGTGCGAACAAAATTGGGATTGTGGGCCTGAGTTAGAAGCTGCATGGAATGCAGTGCTAATCAATAGCAGTTGAATTGCTGAATTTTGGGATTGTTAGATTGACAACTGTGGTGTACTTTCTGTACTGCTCGGAATTGATTTGGAAACTGAATAAAAACAAATCTAATGATCATACTTGAAAAAAAGGTTAATAATGACAATAATGTGTTAATTAATAGATGCCAACTATGAGACGTTTAGGAAATAGTTAAAATTTAAAAAAAAATCATAATTTCAAATCTGAAAGTAAATATTTTTACTTTTTTAGTGTTTTCTTTTTAAAAACATATTTTTATTGATTTCAGAGAGGAAGGGCAAGAAAGAGAGAGATAGAAACATCAATGATGAGTGGAAATTATTGATTGGCTTCCTCCTGCACATTGGATCTAGCCCACAACCGAGGCTTGGGCCCTGGACCATAATCGAACCTGGGACCCTTTGGTCTTCAGGCTGATGCTTTTTTCACTGAGCAAAACTGGGTAGGGCTAGATTTTTTTACACATAAAAATTGGGACAACATGTGAGGTGTTTTTATGACTTATAAATTTAATAATATTTACCCATATTATATCATTAATATAATATTCTATAATTTGGAACATACGTAAGGAGTTCTTTGTCCAATATTTGGCTATCTTCAATTTTCTACTAAGAATAACACTGAAATGGAAATCCAAATATATAAACTATGGCTTTCCTATTATTTCTTTATTATTATCTATTTATTATTGCTTTTTTAAAAAAATAAATTTTTATTGTTCATATTATTACAAATGTTCCTCCCCCGCCCTCCATTACTCTCCTCCACCAGGTTCCCACCCCACCATCTGCCCTTTCCCCACCCCCCATTGTCCTCATCCATAGGTGCACAGTTTATGTTCAGTTTCTTCCCACATCCCTCTCTTCCCTTTTCCCCAAGAATTGTCAGTTTACTCCCCTTCCATACCTCTGATTCTATTATATTCAACAGTTAATATGTTCATTAGATTTTTAAAAAAATTTCCTTGGTTTTTGAATTCACTTGTTGATAGTTACATTATTTGTTGTTCATAATTTTCATCTTTATTTACTTTCTCTTCTGAAAGAACCCCCTTCAGCAATTCATATAATTCTGGTTTGGTGGTGATGAACTCCTTTAGCTTTTTTTTATTAGTGAAGCTCTTTATCTGTCCTTCGATTCTGAGTGATAGCTTTGCTGGATAGATTATCTTTGGCTGTAGGTTCTTTTTTTTTTTTTTTTTTTTTTTTTAATCAATCTCATTGTTCATACCATCACAAAGGTTCCCCACTTCTTCCCCCCTCCACCAGGTTCCCACCCAACCCTCTGCCCCCTCCCCACCCCCCATTGTCCTCATCCATAGATGCATAGTCCATGCTCAGTCTCTTCCCGCATCCACAACTCCCCCTCTCCCCGAGAACTGTCAGTCCACTCACCTCCTGCATCTCTGACTCCACTACAATCAACAGCTAATATTGTTCATCAGGTTTTTCAATCTCCTTTTTTTTTTTTTTTTAATTAATAAACTTTTACACTTCTAAGAATAAATTTTAAAATCCAATAACTTTAAACCTTGTTTTTTTCTGCCCTGGGAATTGAGAAGCAAGCTTGCTTACATGTAAACTTGCCCTTAGGCTACCAAAAGGTGTAGCCATTCAAATGTAAATGAACACATTGTTTAAAGATAGCAGCTGGCTGGAATTGGATTACCTGTTCTGGGTGGGAAGGGCTTGTCCTCCCTTTCTCATTAAAATTAAGGTGTTAGCTTTAAAACCTCTTTTTGGCAAGAGGCCTTAAACTTTCAGAACTTTAAATTTTTCAGATAGTAAATCAGTTACTTAGCATTTTCTCTAATCAATAATACCTCCACATGTCCAAGGATACACTTCACACAAAAGACATTACCAAATAGATCAACCAACCTCATCCAGACCCCACAAAAGGCAATCACAGATCAACACCCCAGCGCTATACTAACTCAACTCATCCAGATCTAAGCCTTCACCACTCGATTCAGCAGACCCTCAAGTTCCCCTAAAAGTCTCCAGCCATGTCTGAGAGGCAGCCCTGGGGTGTGGGCAGGAAAGGAGCGAGCTGCTCCAGGTCTGGCCACTGCCGCTCCTGGCCTGGTTGCATACGACCCGGCTGCTCTGAGCCCAGCTGCTCCGGGTCCGGCCGCTCTAGGTCTGGCTGCTGCTGCTCTGGGTCTGGCTGCTCCCAACCCAGCTGCTCCGGGCCCGGCTGCTCAGGGCCTGGCCGCTCCAGGCCTGGCCACTCCTGACTTGGCTGCTCCGGGCCTGGCTGCTGTTGCTCTGGTTCTGGCTGCTGCTGCTCTGGGGCCTGGTTGCTGCTGCTCTGGGCCTGGCTGCCACTGCCCTGGGCCTGGCCACTCTGGGCCTGGCCGCCGCCGTTCCAACATTCTGTCCTTTTTTATTTTTATTTTTTAAACGCATTTATGTTGCAATGTTGGCTGCTGAGTTGAGCTCTCTCCTAGTCCTCGATTTTTTAAGATCTTCTTTGTATTCTTTCTTAAGTAATTTTACCATCTTTTGCTATAACTTGATTTCTTCACATTGAAAACTTCTTTGGTTTCTTTCTCCTCATCCTGAAATCTCAGCAGGCTGCCCTGCGGTGCCCCTTTGTTCTCCGCGGCCTCCTGCATGGCCCCAGCCTGTTTCCAGGGTTGTACCGCCCAAGAAGCAGCCCCTGGCCTCGGCTCCGTGGTCCGTGATCAGCAGTCCAGGGCCCAGCGGCACCCCCCTCACCCCCCCGAGGGGCCCCGTCGCCCGGCTCCTTGCCGGTGCCCTGCTGGCCGGTGTCCAGCAGCGGCTTCTGCTCCTCATTGCATTCCTCCCAGTCTGGAGCTTTTTTCTCCTTCCCACTAGGGGAGTCTAGCATCAGAGTCAACAGACTATCCTCTGCGTGCAATGTGCGTGACTCCGGGGGCCCTGCCCCTTGCCGCTCCCCTGGGACTCCGCCTCACAGCCCCATCTCCCTCTGTTTGAGCCTGGGTCCCCAGGGTCCGACCTAGAACTGGGGTTCAGAGCAGTCGGCACTGGGGCTCAGCACAGCCGGAGCTCCCGTCTCCCTCCCTCCAGGGCAATCTAGCATCAGAGTCAACATTCTGTCCTCTGCGCGCAATGTGCATGACTCCAGGAGCTTGGCCTTTTGCTGCTCCCCTGGGATTCCGCCTCACAGCCCCATCTCCCGCTGCCCGAGCCTGGGTCCCCAAGGTCTGGCCTAGAACTGGGGCTCAGCGCTGCTGGTTCTGGGGTTCAGCCCAGTCCAAGGCCCCTGTTTCCCTCCTGCTAGGGAACACCAGGCAGCCACCCAGCCTTCCC